ACCCTATAAAGACAAATTTCATTAAAGCTGGATAAGTCGGGATGAAGAAACTGCCTGACGTCGCCCCCTCAACTGTGCATATTAAACACACTAGCTCTAAGGAAGAAATAACTGTGTTAATATCTCCGTTAAAACCTATTTTGCAGCTCCGATCAAGATTCCCAAGTACACCTCCACCAACCCTACTATCATTATACCTTCGTCTCAATTGCCTATCTCTCAGACTGAATAATACATGGCTTGCAACGTTTTGATTGATAAACCTTGCGTCATCCAGGTCTCACTCACGGGGTGATTGTGCCAATCTCAGCGTCACATTCTCAGTCAGCTTAGGGGGTTGGGGTTGGTGCCACCATCGCCGAGACGTTATGAGGATAGGCAAGCTGCATCGCACTCAAGGGTTGAGAGGTACACATTGCATCGATTTCCGTGTACAATTCAATAATCAGCATGTATCTCAATTCGCAATCATCTGCTCAAACATTCTTCCTCCCAAGACGACTTACACGATGGCCGCATGTCGTCAAACCAAGCTCGCGCCGATCCCCACCCTTGTAGCGCCACATCCGACACCGGCGACAGGGGGTTAAACAGACTCAGAAATAAGCTTATTACCCATGCCCGTCCCGCTGCCCTGCCGACGCCACCCGATGTCCCAGCCTCCACTGCGTCCCGTACCCTGCAACATCCCCTGTCCGCGCTAAACCAGGGATGCCCCCACAAGTACACACACCCCGTTCAAGGGTGTTGCCCCTGATCGCCGCCCACGCCCTCCCCCCCTGAGGGTGCCCTGTCCAGGTACCTTACGTACAGTGAAGTCACTGAAGTCGGAGTTCCTTTTTGAGGACGGCGGCCCACCACAGGTTCATCACCCCTGTCTTGGTGCGCCTCAGTGCCTCGCCACACAGGGAGGGATTCAGTTTGGGGCCGACGCGTCGGTTGCACTGGCAACGGGAGGGGTTGCCCAAAACTTGGAGTGGTCTGATTGGATGTGGAGTGGATGGGTTCCCAACTACACATGCGACTGAGACGAAATCGTAGTCAATCAAGCTGGCCTATCGACATGAATCCAGCGGAACATGATTAAGCAAGATGTTCATGCGTGGTGTGCGAATGAAAACTCGCATGTTCCCCTCGATGGGAACAGAGATCAAATCAGAACTATGGGTGCATGCCGCGCTCATACAGGATTCAGCTTTCCACGAGACAATTGCCCACCAAAGACAGAATCGTGGATCAAGGATGTCCATTTCTTATTTACAAGTGTGAGCTAAAATGTAATTTACAAGTCCGAAGACAATAAATATAACGAATCAAAAGCGCATGCGGCCCGCAGCCTGCGCCGAATCAGGAACCACCGTCTCGCCCCCCGGAACACTTCCACGAGCCTCCCCAGGTTCTCCATCAAAGTCTCATACTGCATCTACAAGCACTGAGAATACCACTCGCTCGACTTCGTGCAAGTCGACCCGGCCGCGCAGGCAGTGGGGCCGGTGTACCCCGCGCCGCCGCACTGGGCCCACTTCGCAGCCGAGGCACCGGCGGCAGACTCGGCGGCGGCGGAGGTGGCGGCGGGGGCAGCAGCGACGGAAGTAGACGACGCAACGGGCTCAGAGACCTCTTCAGCGGCATCCTCCTTGACGGCGGGCGCAGCAGACGCAGAGGCGGAAGCGGTGGCGGCAGGCGTCGTTGCGGAAGTAGCCTTCGTCCAGCCGCGGCTGCGCGAGAGCTCGTACCACCAGTTGCGGTACATCCAGCCGTCGAAGTCGGTGATCTCCATGGACGAGCCCGCGAGCATGATGAAGTTGGACACGCCGGTCGGGGTCCAGTCGTAGACTGATTTTTGCTGGTTAGCAACCAATCCACCATCAAAGAATCAAAAGAAACTCACAATCATCCAGACCAAAGGTGTGTCCCATCTCATGCAGCAAGATGTGAATGCTCTCAGAGTCCAGGTTGTTGATCATGTACTCCCGCCCAATCTGCTGTCCCCAATCATACCCGAACCCGCCCTCGAGCCCGTCCGTCAGCCACAGGCTGTGCTCAAACCGCCGATCCGCACCAGCCTTGCACCCGCTGAAGTCCCCATCTATATGCGCCGCGCGATCGCACTCCGTCGCGCACGCCGGGACGCCGTCCCCATCCTTGTAGGTGGTATACACATCCAGCCCGTCGGTGCTGCCCTCCAGCAGACTCGCGTCCTTCACCGCCCACGCAACCACATTCACATCCACCTTCGCAAACGGGAACCCGTCGTACCCGTACAGCCACTTGAACCACTTCTGGTACTGCGCCGCGTACGCGCTCGCAATCTTGGTGCGCTGCGCGGCCGTCACCGTCGCGGAGGAGTCCCAGCGCACGCAGATGTTGAGGCTGCCGTTGGTCGCGACGAGCTGGTCCCAGCCCCAGTTCTTGTTGCCCGTGACGGCGCCGTCGTAGGTGGACTCGTAGTGCGCCCAGACCTCCTTCAGGGGCGCGGCGAGGGCGGACGGCGGGGAGAAGCCGGACTGGCGCTTCGTCGGGCGGTTGCGGGTCTGCGGGGAGAGGAGGCTGCGCGCGGCGGCGTGGGGGGCCGGGTGGTGGTTGGCGAGGGAGGACCAGACGGCCGGGTCGAGGTCGGCTTTGGAGCGGGAGGGGGAGGGGTGGGCGAGGGTGGTGGCCGCGAAGGCGAGGAGGAGGGAGGAGGTGAGGGAGGGCATGGTGAATGAGTGTGGTGTAATGAGTGACTGGGTGAAAGGATGCACGGGCAGAACGTGAGCCAGTCAGTTCTCCCGAGAAATCGAAGAAAAAGAAGGCGGATGGAGGGTGCGAGAGGACGAGGCACTCGGGTGCGCTTGACGGCGGGATATATGTGAAGGCCGTTGCGTGTAGGCGAGTGAAGCCATTTTCGAGAGTTGCAGCGGGTCATCGCCAAGACGGTTTCTCGTGGGAGAGCGTGAGTCCGACCTATGCTCAAAGTGAAGACCGAATAGAAGCGTTCATGGGTGGGCTTACCGTGTAAGTGAGGTGGGAGCCGGTAGCGCCGTCCTGTGATTGGCCCGGACCAAGGTCGGCGGACACCTCAAATTACAGGACCGCCGCCGCCCTCGGATGCGGCCGATTCTGGGAGTTTACGGATCCACACGCGGCCGGGCCCCGGGGCTCGGCGTCGAGTATTGATTTGCGCCAAGGCGCTACGGGAGGCGTACCGAGCCCTGGAGTCGCGGGATGGGAATGTCTCGCCTTTTTTGCAGCGGGCTTATGTCATGATTGGGGACTGGTGTTTGTCCTTTTTGCGAATACTCGTGTTGGGGCCCTTTTGAAATTGGGCAACGAGATGAGGCACCCCTTTTTCAATGGTTCTGTGATTCGGATTGTGGGCAAATGATCTAGACTGGCTCTTGTCTAAAGAGGTGGATTTCACAACGGAATAAAATCATGAAGTCGACTCATTGATTACAGCTGAAATTTTTTCCCAATAAGCCCCTTCTCAAATGAATTTCAACGAAAGTGGCATTCAAATAAGCATTTACATGCTTGGCGGACACCATCCTCAAGCACATCGCAGCCCAACCATCATGCCGCGCTCGTCACACGATCCTCAAGCCCCGCATCACCGGTTGATCGTCCCGCCAAGCCTCTGATCTCTGGTACGCTTAATCCTTGGCCACGATGTTTGACAGCCGACAGGCTCAAAACTCTCCGCAAACAGCCATCTCAACGTTGCATTACTTCTAGTTATCACTCGGAGGTTTCTTCCCCATCGAACTGTCCTTCAACAGAATGCGAACGTGTGGCTTTCGTCCGCGACCGAGATGGTGGGAACAAACACCAGCGTCATCTCGCTTACCGCAGAAATCATCACACATTGCTCCCCCGTCGAAATGTACCTCATTTCATTCCGTAGACTGCTGACTCGAAGATTTAGCAAATGAAGGAAGTTCACAAAGTGCGAATGGACTTTTATGAATTAGATACAAACACATGCATGAAAATAAGCTTGAATTGGAACTGAAACTAGGGGTCTCTTGTGACCCACCCTAAACGCCGATCCCAAACCGCAGATGTCATTCGCAACATCAAAACCAAAAAAGCAGAAGATAGACCACCACCACCTAATCCTTCACAACCCAAAGACAAACAACCGGCTTCCCCCCCGGCTGCCCCGTCCTCGTCCCATCCCACCCGACATCCTTCAAGCACTTCTTCATCATATCCTTATCGTCCCCGGCAAAGCACAGCCCGCGGTACCACTTCCCGTTCCCCGCCTGCACGATCTCGTAGCACTTGTTCTTCTTGGGCACGGGGTTCGTCGCGCCGAAGCCCTTGAGCAGCTCCGCCAGGGACGTGTTGACGGGCACGTGAAACGCCGCGAACTGGATGCGCGCGTTGGCCGGCAGCTGCCACGGCGGCGTGGTGCTGCGGAACACGTGGATCTTGGTGTGCGCGGCCGGGAAGAAGTAGTTGTACCCGGGCTCGCAGCCGGTGCCGCCCGTCGAGTTGGAGAGGTGCGCGGCCGGGTTGCGCGGGTCGAGCGCCGGGAGGCCGGCGGCGGTGGTGCGCGCGAAGGGGTGGGCTTGGCCGGAGGGCTGGAGGGGGTAGGTTGTGTAGCCGCCGGGCGGAGGCGCGGAGGGGGTGGACCAGGAGTAGGATGTCGCGCCGGGGTAGGGCGAGGCCGGGGGTTGGTAGTAGTATTGGGAAGGCTGGTAGGGGTAGCCGTAGGAGGCGGAGGTCCAGCCCGGGTGGGGGATGTAGGGCTCGCCGTAGCGGGGGAGCTGGTAGCCGGTGTTGGGGCCCCAGGGGGGCCGGCGCGCGTCGGCGTCGGGGCCGTTGACGGGGTTCGACATTGTATTAGACGGGGTGGTGGTGCGGTTGCCAGGTGTTTACCCAGTTGTTGATGTGGGGGTCGTACTGTGTGATCCAGTGGCCGGGGACAGGTCCTGCGAGCGTTGGATCCCAGAGGCTGTGGTTGTGAGTTGAAGCTGAAGTGTTGAAACGGAGGCTGTTGGAGAATCGTGCAGTCAACTCTTGTTCTGCGGATGAGCCTGGAGGGTGTAAGCTGGCAATTTATAAGACAGAATGTGCTTGCAAGCACGCAGTGAATAAGTCTGTGTAGATGGCAGTGACTCACCCGAGTCAGACGAGGAGACTGATTGCAAATCTGTCTGATCGCCGCGCGTGTCGCGCTGAAAGGCAAAGATTTCGGTGCTCCAGACGGGGTTGTTGTCCGGGTCGTAGAAGGTCCCGACGATGAGCCAGCCCCAGTGCGGAGGATTGCGCGAGCAGATGTAGTACTGGCCGATGATCAACTTGGTTGCGGGGTACGGGAGGTACTCTGGCTCCTCTTCGGAGGAGTGTTGGGAAGCCACGGTGACTGATGATGAGGTGATGAGGTTAACTGAAGGATTGAACTGTGTAGCGGGAGAAGGTGCTTTTGTGTGATGCTGTTGGCATGTTTGCGACAGAAGCAGCCGATGACGACAATTTATAGCAGTCTTGAGGCGAAGCTGGATGAGTGAATCATTGACATCCAGAATGGCATCTGTGATGGAGAGTGACGAGGATGCCGGATCTATGAGACGAAGGGCCATCCGCGGGCGTGACATGCTGGGTGCTGTTTGGTTCTGGAATATCGTGATGAGATGAATTGCAGCTGACGTGCATGTCGATGAATCACTCCAACTGGATGCGTCCTTCAAGGTGCACAATTGACCCGACCGCGACGATTCAGTCGCAAACTCGACTCGCATGCGATTCGCTCTGAGTCCATGTTTGGTTGATTGTGATGTATTGCTAGCTTGAGTGGTGTGGCGCGAAAGTGGCGCTCCATTTGTGGCTGACGCCGACGCCAAATGCCTTTGATTTGGTGAGGCCTGTCCTTCCGCCAATGAGAAGCTGTCCCTAGCTGAGCTCCCAAGTCTCCACCGCGCCATCTTTGATTGGCAATCTCGCTCTAAGGTCGCGATCGTCGTCAATCTTGATGGTGCATTTCCGCTTTCTCGAACGCCCTGCGTATTGGCGAGTGATTGGCCGCCGCTGTTCCGTCTCTCAGTTCCAAGTCTGTGGCGTAGTGGTGACCAAAACCTGCTGCACATCGAGAACCTGCCAGACAACTCGACTGCTTCGACGGTGGGGCGCAGTCGACATGGGTGCCTAACTCCGGCATTCCCGCGTTGCTCGCAGCTCTCAGCAGTCCCCAAACCGCCGCTGGGCCGTCTTCAGCCCATCCAGCTCATCGTGCTCGTGTAAACGTCCTCCTCCACGACTGCCCGCTCAATCCTCCACCTCGACATCCTCCTCAACAACCCTCACGCCGCCCGCCTTCTTCAGCTCCTCCACCTCCCGCCGCACCATCTTCCGCCTCTCCACCTCCGTGACCAAGCCCTTGAGGTACACCTCCGCCTGCACCGTCGCGCTGTAACTCATCGCCGTCCAGCTCCACATGTTCCGCCTCTCCGCATCCGCGCCGGCAGCCAGCAGCGTCCTCAGCACCAACAGGTTCCCGTTCCCGCTCGCAAAGTGCAGTGCCGTGTTGCCGTCCAAGTCCGCCCTCTTCACGGCGTCGCGCGCGCCGCTGGGGACGTAGGTCAGCAGGATCTGCAGGACCGTGTCGTGGCCGCCGCGGGAGGCCTCCATGATGGCGTCGCGCCAGCGGATGTCGCGGCGCAGGATGACGTGCGGGGTGCGCTCGCAGAGGAAGTGGACGACGTCGGTGTGGCCGGCGGCGGCGGCGAGCATGAGGGCGGTCTGGTGCGACTCGTTGAGGGCCGGGTCGGGGTCTTCGTGGCCGGCGTCGAGGAGGACGCGGCAGATGGGCAGGTGGCCGAGGGAGGCGGCGAGGTGGAGGTTCGAGTTGGAGAGGCCGAGCGGGGAGGAGTCGGGGTTGTGGAGGAGGCCCGGGTGGGATTTGAGGATGCGCTTGACGAGGAGGGGGTCGTTGGCCGTGATGGCGCGGCGGACGCGGAGGGAGGGCTCGATCCTGGGGGGTGGTGGTTAGCTGGTGTTACGTCACTGGCGGGAGTGGGGGATGCGTACATGGTTGTGATGGAGAGTCTAGCAAGAGTGTGGGAATGTGGTGTTGGAAGTTGTGACCGTAGGCATCGCTTTTGGGAAGAAGAAAAACGAAGGGCGTCGCGATGGTGGTGGTGGTGGTGGTGGTGGAGGGCGGGAAGGAGAAAGGATGGCAGGTCAGAGTTGGGATGAAAGCGAGAAATTGGGTTGGTGACAGACAGGAGCTGAACTTAGCTGTGGCGGCGTGGGAAGCCCCCTGAAAACGGCAGGGATGGCCAAGGGGCAGCGGCAACCAGGTCGTATTAGCGGGGGAAGGCGGGGGCTTTTTTGGGGGGTCAGCGTCACTGCCCCTCGGTTGCCGGGCTCACCTTGGTCGATTCGGTGAGGACCGTGCAGACCGAGCTGGTGAATGATGGGATGCCGAATTGAGTTTTGATCGAATCCATCTGACAACAGTAAATTCTTAAGATTCTTGAAAACTCAAGTTCCAATCTTTTTTCTCACTCTTCTGGGCTGTTTTCCCCGTTCGTGTGAGCCTCAATTCATAATTCACCCAGCATCATGATGTGGCTGTTGTGGCGGCGCAATGTGGCTGAAGCAAGCCCAATCAACCAGAAACCAGGTTAATTGAATCTCAATGCCGTATCGACACGCTTCGTCTATCTAACTCTAGACTTGTTATTCATCCAAATCAAAATCAACCTCACGCAGCAGCGGCATACGGCGTGCCAAAGGGTTGCAGCGTCGTGCCCTCAATGTCAATGTACCCATACTTAGAGCCATCACTGTTCTCCGCCATGCCCTGCGCCCACTTCTGCAGCGACTTCTCAAACACCTCCTTGTACTTTTCCTGGCTGACATCAAGCGGCTCCTTATCCTTGCCCACCAGACGAATCCTGCATCACCAATAATTAGCAATCCCATCTTCACAAATCATCAGACGCAAGAAGAACTTACTGCGTGCCAGCCAATATATTCGTCAACATGAAATCATCCTCCCCAAGCAGCGTCAGCACCGAGCTCCCCGCCCTCCCCTCGATGATCTTCTTGGGCAGGTCGAACTCGTTGCACACCGGCCGCGCCAGGCCCACCCCGTCCACCGTCTCCAGCGCCTTCACCATCGCGGCCACCGTCCGCAGCCCGCCGGTGACGTACACCCGCGTTTTGTTCAGCTTGCCGACGATCTGTTCCGCAAAATCCAGGAAGAAGGCCTCGCGCTTCTTCGTGGACTCGCGCTTGTGCTCAAAGGCCAAAGACTGATACGTCCCGCCCGACAGCTCCACAAAGTCAAACTTGTGCTCCTCAAGGACGGCGCACAGCTCGCTGCAGTCTTCGGTCGAGAACCCGCCCTCCTGAAATTCGACCGAGTTGACTTTGATCCCGATGCTGAAGCCCGGGTCCGTTACGCGCGCGCGGATGGCGGCAGCGATTTCCAAGATGATCCGCGCGCGGTTGGCGAGGGACCCGCCGTACTTGTCCGTGCGCTTGTTCGTCGTCGGCGAGAGGAACTGCGCGAGCAGATACCCGTGCGCGCCGTGCAGCTGCACGCCGTCATAGCCCGCCTTGTGACAATATTCCGCCGCGTGCGCAAACCCCCCAATCACCTTCTCAAAATCCTCCGGGCCCATGGCGCGCGGCTTGCCGAATGTCAACCCATTCATCTCGCCCTCAAGCTGCACATCGCTCGCCGAGATGGGGTGCGGATTGATGTTGCTCGCAACCTGTCTCCCCGGGTGGCTCAGCTGCGCATGCACCAAACTGCCATGCTTCTTGGCCGCCTCAGCGACTCTCCGAAAGCCGTCAAAGCGCTCGCCTGAAAAGGGCGCGGAGCGTGGGATGATGGGGTTGCCAGCGGCCTCGAGCTGGTCGTAGTCGAGCATGAAGTTGCCCGTGAGGATGAGGCCGGAGCCGCCCTCGCCCCAGCGGCGGTAGACGTTGACGAGCTCCGGGGTGGGGACGCCGCGATTGGCCGGGACGGCGGGGTCCCAGGTCGAGAGGCGCTCGGTCATGGCGCCCTTGAGGAAGCGGTTGGGGGCCGTTTTGCCCGAGAAGGGCAGCGGGAGGGGCGCCGCGAGGGGGGCGGGGTCGACGGCCTCGGCGGGGTATCTTGTTGGTGACATTGTAGCGTGAAGGTCTGTTGTGTCTATAGAGAGGTTTGTGGGTGTGGGAGATGGAGAGGGAGAATCAGCGGCCTGGCAGGTTTTATGTCCAGCTGCGATGGAAGCCCAGTTTATTCCACATCCCCTGGGCGAAGCGGAGCAACTGACGTGCCATGCTTTGAAACCGCCCACGATGCTTTGTAATGGATTCCAGACCATGAGAGCGTTACATTGTTGAGCGTTGGAGACAGACGGGGGTGGCCCTTCTAGACGGCGGTCGGGTGCGAAGTGCGGCCCGGCAGCGTCTGCCTTAGCGCCGTGCCCGCTCGGCATTCGGAGGGTGCCCCTCGGGGCTGCTCATTGGCTCACGCGAATCAAACACCGAACTGAAAGGAACTCACATCTGCCGTGGACGTCCGTGGAAAGGAGTATTAGAGATGCTGGATTCTTGCAGAATCGCATCGGGTCTCGGCAGCTGCTGCGAAACGGACGAATCGGAGCGGTGATTGGCGATACGGAGGGGAGTTGTGTGCGTCATGGTGTGGGGCCCCCCTGTCGCTGCTGTCAGCGGGATGGACACCAAGTTTTCCGCCCGTAAGATTTCTAATCTGACGACCGCGGGCTCGGGCATCTATCCGTCTGGCGTATAGGTTCGGGCAATGGATTGATGCGCCTTGACAGATTTCGCCTTAGGTGCGTTGTTTCCTCGCGGTCTTGACTGTCTGTTTTTGTCATGGGTGCATCAATTTGGCGATTCAGGTGTCTTGTTTCCTTTGAGAAATGGAGGCGCTGATGTCACTGCAACGAAACGAACTTGTCACTGTTCGAACAAAGCCTTGTCATGAATCAATGGACGCTAAAAAAGGGACAGAATGAACGAAACGCAAACGGTGTCTGCCTGCCCAAAAAGATGCGCCGAGGGGGAATCGAACCCCCGGCTCCCCGACGCTGCTCGATGGCAACGGAGAATTTTACCACTAAACCATCGGCGCAGTTTCTCTTGGACCCATTTACGGGTCCTCGATGCACGTCCCAGGCGGCGAATCGGGTCAAGATGCAACTCTGCACAGAACATCGCGAATTCCCGGCAGAGATCCATTGGCAGGGTCAAAATCGCATGAACTCTTGCTGAAAGACACATCAGATGAACTTGATCCAAAAACTTCAAATTTTAACATTTTAATCTCGGCATATCTAAGCCCACTTGACCGCCACATTCCACACCCGTCTCCCCCTCGCGTCCAGCGCCTTCTCCGTCGCACCACTTACACCCCTCTCCTCGCCCACGGGCAACACCACATCGACGCCCTTCTCAGCCCACAACGGCTTCCACTTCGCGCCATCGCCCGCGACAACCTCGCCCCGCACCGCAACCGCAATCTCACCACCCACAATCTCGTATGTGACGGTGAACTTGTACTCGGCAGGCTGCTCGCGGCTGATGCCATCGTCCTCGAACCAGGCGTCCTCAAACACGACGCCCTTGACGTCGTCGT